TGATATTTCTTTAAAAAAAAAAGAATGTGTTTACAGATGAATATCAATTTTGTTGTTTTTTGAAAAAGAAAACAATGAATCACATAAATCAGTCTTGATGATTTAACAATTAGAGAGAAAGAAGAACATGAGAGTTTTATTTAACGTCTAACTATGTCCTATTAGGAAAATAATCATATCCATAGACGAAATCTTGACATTTGAATATCAAATTGACTATTTGGAAAGCGACATTGAGTCATTAAACGATAAGGCTCGACTTTTTCAACAGGAATTGTACCATAAATATTGAGAAAGACAAATTGTTTTAATCCTTCAAATAATTGACAAAGATCTTGTTCAAAAACAGTTACATGCTCGTCTAAATAAGAATAATTTGATTAAATTGATTTTTTTTCTCTAACCAATATATTTGAATAACATACTGATTGATTGAGGTGTACGTAGATATTGCAACCATGGTCTTGTTAAAAGTCTATAACAGTGACCAGCTTTTAAATTCGGTCGAACTTAAAGAAATAAAAGATGAAAAGAATAATTACTAAAGAAAAAAAAAAGTTTGCTTTTTCTTTATTAAACAAAAATGAACGATCAGAAACAATTCTGCTAACATTTCTTTTAAAATCGCCCGAAAAAAATTAGATGATTATACTTAATAAATACTTTTAGTTGAAACAAATATTGTACTAGATTTTTTCATGGTTCTTTGTCTAACTTTACAATTGTTTGTTTCTTAATGAATTAAAACAAATCAAGAAGAAAATAAAAGTTCTATAGACATTAAGTTCTATTTTTGACACATAAAATCTGTACTATTATGAATCTCTTTTGTACTCTTCGACAAAAACCATAGGTAATATGATATTAAACTACGAATTTTTGCTGTTTCTCCTATAAATTCTAATAGCGGAAAGAAAGATGAAAAGTTAACAGGTGCACTAAGAATCAAAATTTCTCTTCGTGTTAGCAGCTAAGAATCAAAGCCAATCAATAAATGTTCACTTCTCACTAGAGCCTTTCGGTCCAAAAATTTTGGACCCAGGTCAGGATCCGACTGATTAAATTTTTTTGGATCAGGACTCGTCTGAATGCGGGTCTGGATCTGCTCCGACGGGCTCTATTTCTCACTTTTTCATACTCAGAACGACCAGACGACAAAATTTAGTAATAAAAGATCTAAACAATAGAACATTAACAGCAAAATAAAGAAACTAGATGGCACACGAGTCGAGATTCGTATGCGAAATGCGGTGCGAAGCACATGTAATTAGGTATGCACCAGTTCCAGTCCTGACTGGGTCATCAATCATTTAATCTTTAATTTATTATATGAATAATATCTCCCTCTTTCTTATCATATTATAATAAACTTATCTTAACATATTAAAGAATTAATACTAGTCATATCATGGTTATTTTTTCTATGATATAACTCGTATTAGTTCTTTAATAGGTTAAGATGAGTTTGTTATAATGTGATAAGAAAGAGGGAGATATTATTCATGTAATAAATTAAAGATTAAATGATTGATGACCCAGTCATGACTGGGTACCCAGTCCGACTGGACTGGTGCATATCTACACGTAATCTCGATTATCGAAAAATCGACATTTTGTAGAAAAACGAATAGTCGTTCATACAACCAACTATTGAACGATTTTCTTGATAACATATTTCTCATGAACTGAAATCAGCTATTTTTTATACTGATTTACATCTGAGAAACTATGTTTCAATTAATCAGATGATCAAAATAGAAAATATTTTCAAAAGTAGACGTTACGAGATTCATTACTGCGAGAACTCTATTGATGCGTATCGATGCACATTGAAAGAATGCTTTATATTGATTGTTTATTTCTAACAAATGATATTGATAGATCGTTTAATTATCTAGATGAGTCATTATAAGTTGGCAGCTGATTACACAGCTGTAATGAACATATCAGTTGTTCGAAGAAATTCGCGCCTAGCTTTTCGTATTGTTTTCGTTTTAATTATCTCGAACATTGAAAAAAAAACAAAGTCCACATCAAAATTCATCATTCTGATGTAGCAAAATCAAAAAATCATAAACCGAGAAAAAGCGAAAAACATTTTTTGTTTTATCTGAAAAACGCATATTTTTCAACGGAATCATCAAAAATTTTGGCCAAAAGCGAGGTGATGAAGAGAAAACAATAGCGTTTCTGAAAGAGCAGAAGATGGGCTATCTTCCCATGCATTTATCTGAATTTCGACGATTTTGGCGAAAAGGGACTTTTTTTGAGGAGGGGCCTTAATAATAAAAAGAATAGAACTTTTCTCTAAAAATTAAATATCTTTGAAAAGAAATTTATTTTTATTGAAGATATTTCCGATTGAGACCACATATTCTATATATTTACTACAGTATAGATGAGAAAAACAAATGAGTTGTAGATTTCAGTTCATTATGAACTTCACTAAAGTTTTTAATCAGATATATTGACTGACATTAGATAAAATTCAATTAAAATTTATATGTAAGCAAAAAAAATTGCCGTTAATAAATTTAAGAACGACCTTTTCAGTATCTTCAATTTTAGATTATTACAGAAATATCAGATAACTGATGAAATTTTAACAAATCATAATTGAAATTAAAAAAAAAATTTCGCATTGTTAGTTATGATTAATTGTATTTTATCTAAAAAACAAACTTACTTGATGTCCAAGGAAAATCATCTGGTCTCCAAAGACATAATGTTTGTAAATGAGGCATATAACTATTGAGGAAAGGTACAAGATGTTTACCAACATAAATGGATTCGTAGTTACCAAGATTACAACTAGGAATACCAAATTCAGCATGTTGAACAGTACTTAGTACATTTTCTTTCAAGTCATCAAAAGCCTAAAAATGATTTGAAATAACATTTAGATTTAATGATATAAAATTTACTTTTTAGTTATTTTTATTTACATAATTACTTTCGCTCTTTTTAAACAAGCATATATGTATATGAAAAAGCTGAAATGATTATTATTAAGGATGTATCGAACATGAGACAAGACCAAGATCCTTGTATGAGATAGTTTCAGCTTTGGTCAGTCTCGGATCCTGAAGAAACTACTTTTATGTCAATCTTCTTTTCGATTTGCATTCTGTAGACACTCTTCTACATTGTTCGAATTATTTTAATGAAAAAATATTGATCTCTCTTCAAAATTGGATCTTATAAAACCAATTTAACGGAACTAGTATCATCAAAGTCAAAGATCTATCAATCGTTGATATCTGACAAAAAGAACAATGCAAGACAAAACGAAAAATCCAAAATCCAGAAGACTGAGAAAACAGAGACTGAGAGAATTCGATTCAGTACGTCCCTAGTGATTATTTACTTAACGTTTAACAAATCCATTTCAGAGTAAATATCAAATTCGCCTTAGTTTCTTTTAATAATATTATAAATAGACTTATATGTCTCAAAAAAAAATTCACGAAAGGTTCATACTTACATTTTCAATAACGTATAAAAGCCATTGAAATTTTTCAAGAGAAAGATATTTGAGTTGAACAGGCATTGAAATAAGACGAGCAAATATTTTTGCACGTACTTTATCCAAGGCTGTAAATTTAGAACCATGATCTAAAAAAAATTAATTTTCTTTAGATTTTATTTATAATAAAGAAATACAGTTTCAAATATCGATACAAACGAGGATTATTTGTTTCAGAACGAGAAAGTAATCGTAATTTCTTCTATATTTTGATCGTACTTAAAATGATTGCTTATCATTATTAAAGAATTATTTATCAGATGAGAAGAATAAAAAAGTTACTAAATATGAATTAACCAACAGTGAAAAAGACATTAGACTACAAGGATGTATGGATGAAAAACAACAAGAGACAGAGAACTTTGGTTCTATGACCTTTTTGTTCGATATGAAAATTGTTTTTTGCTCTAAAAAATCTCTCAAAGTTGTATCGTGTACTTTGCGCTTCTCACTGTCACACGTCTGCTAAACGGTTAATAGGTAATCATTGATAACATCAATTTCTCGTTGTTGTAATTGACAGGTTTTATCATTACTTTTGCAAGTAAATATGAACTTTTTCGTTACTTACGTTAGTTACTCGATAATATTGGATACGGTCTTCTCATCATTAATCGCTTAGTAATGCAATAATAACTGATTATTTCTCTCTAGCCGTACTTCACTCATACTTGAATTTTTTGTTTGAAGATGAAATAATTAATTTTTGTTTTTTTTAATACTTTGATAATAGTATATATTTTAGTAAAATACGCTAGAAATAGAATGCTAAAGTAGACAATGAATAATGTCATTATATATTCGTTGGTATCTTTATCCGTTGAACTCTTGTTCTTCCATAAATGGTAATCGACATTTTAAATAGTATGATCTTTTCCCTGTTCATATAAATTGGAACTAACATATCTATTATATCAAAATCTACTACGAAGACTATTAAAGCATTCTCAAAGACTGATGTTATAAGTACAAGAAAACTTTAAAAAAATAAAATGTTAATTTTATTTCATGGCGGTGGTCACAATTCCAGGAATTCTTAGCAACTATTTACAGCAATTGGAGTGACACGGCTAATATTTCTTTAAAATTTGACGATAATTCATGGTGGTAGAAACGGTGAAGCCGATCGGCTTACATCTCGAGGTATGAACAAAGACGTTTGTTTTTAAATGTTCTAATGAATATTGTTGAAATTTTTCGATTAGTAAATACGTTGAAGATGCTTAATAAACGTAAAAGTTCAAGACAATTTGATAATATTGCACGTTTACAATATAAAAACTTGAACACTTACATTTTAATTTCTCAGAAGATTTGATTAAGAACTATTTTATATTAATTAACGTGTGTTCATCTGCTAATTTATCCCAAAAATGCGCTCATAACTACAAATAGTTTTTTAAATATCTTTAGAAGATTCAAAATAATAATTTAAATCTTTTTAAATCGAACTATATAGTTTTCTTGTCAAAACGACACTCAGTTAGATTTTGTGAGGAAGATATGTAAATCATTTTAAATGAAACAGTTTATGTTTTTCTACTATATATTTCAACGACCCAAAAGTAATGAACTAAGGTAACTAAGATAATCATTAAATAGAAAATAATTTTTTTTATCAGTTTTGAAGAAAAAACTCAATTTGTACATACGAGTTGCACGACGATAACAAATTCCCAATTGAAGTTTTGTGACATTTACAAGTTGAATAGTATTTAAATTTCGTTGTCCTATTTTGAATGATGTTGCCAACATCTCTGATTTGTCATCAGACCATTCTACAAATAAATCATTATCATTTAGCATTTTTTCTATTAGATTCAACTAAAATTAATATATTAATTCAGTTAAAATAAATCCAACTGAATCTCAATATATTTTTTAAAATCCTTTTCGATTAACAACGAAATTTTATTTTAATCCTTTTAATTAAATAATCAGATATGAAAAATCAAATATAAATACTTTTTTCCAGATAATCATTAGAACCTGGGAACTTCACCAGATATTCTTCAGATTGGTACGATTCAAATACGGACTCACGTAGAAACGTGTTTATTAGAATTTTATTCAAATATAATCTCATACTCCAAACATTCTATTAATAGTCATGAAAGCTGTTATATCTATAGAATATTAGCTGTTTAACATAGGTGGTTGGAACGTTAACAATGATGTACTACGTTGAGCAAAACGTTCGCGGTCACTTGCAAAAATTTTAATTTTTTAAGTTTATTTGTGAAGAGAGGATCCTTGAACGTCGATGGCGTTGTGCACTTTGAACTGGTCTCTGATGGTTGAGCCGTGAATGCCGAGCTGTACAGCGAGCAATTGGAGCGCGTCTACAATGTCTTGAAGCAGCGCTACCCGACGTTGATCCGCCGAAAACGTGCCCTTCTCCAACACGGCAATGCTCCAGCTCATTGTGCCAATATGGCCAAGGAGAAGCTTGATGAACTCGATGGTGTAGAGGTTCTACCGCATCCGGCTTACAGTCCCGACCTTGCTCCTTCTGATTATGGCTTGTTTCGTTCAATGCAGCACTTTTTGCGAGGACGACGATTTGGAACTTTTGATCAAGTCGAAGCAGCGTGCCGTGAATTCTTTGAGTCCAAGGAGCCGCACTGGTGTCGAGATCAGATTCGACAACTTGCAGTACGCTGGTGTAAGGTCATTGAGAATGATGGGTTGTACTTTGAAGAATAATTGTAATTGGTTTTGAATAAATTGATGCATAAAAAAGAATTTTTTTGCAAATGACCGCGAACTTTTTGCTCAGTCTAGTATATATCAGAATAAACTGTATTAACTCAATGAAAGATTCAATAACAGTCAAAATTAATTATTCTAATAATGAACATTTATTTTTAACAATTAATGAAGAAGATTGTCACCAAATTTGATACCGATAAATGAAAAGTTTTGTTTTCGTTACAGATATGAAAAGGAGAAAAAGTGAAAAGAACATGACAAAATTTTTAATAATTCGTAACGTGGATATATAGTTTTTTTAAAGTAAAAACTACAAAAAGTTTTTTCACCAAAAGAACGATTTTTGCAAAAAAAAACCGAAAATTTTCCAAAAGTGAGAGTGTGCATCAGATATGGGCACGGTTTGGGTTCTTCAAAAGGATGTGGTCAGAAATAAAAGATTCTTCCCCATTCTGGAAACATTATAAAATGAAAGTACTTTATTAATGTATAACTGCTTTGATATTGGTTTGTTAAGATGTTGTCCGTTTTCTGGAGAAAATCTCGAGAAATGTCAGAAATTTTTAATAGAATGCTGTAGTCCCCCTCAGGGACCCCGAAAAATTTATTTTCGAATTTCGACTTGAAACTTTTTACAGAGATAGATCTTAGCAAGAGTAGTTTGTTCTGAAACTTTCAGATCTTTTTGTTAATTCTATCGTAAAATACGACTATGGTAAAAGTGTGCTTTACACTGCTCATCAGGGAACCCGAAACTTGCGCACGACGAAACTTGCGCACTGCAAGATGCGCACGTACAACTTGCGTACGAGATAAAAAAAATACCATATTTACAAATATAAAATTAAATAATCTGATCAATCATTAACTGTAATGACTTTACATAGTCTGTTTGATTTTTTAATCTAATTAAAATGAGCTTATGTTCAGAACAAATGTGTCCTATATATGAGAGATGGTCATTCACATACGAAACATTTCATTGTCAATTCTTGTTGAGTATGTCCACTTCTATCGAATTCATTACTACTACAAAAGGTCGTTCGTTAATGGTATTGGATGGTTTCTCTTATATTCAAGATCGTCCAACTGATACAAAAACTTATTGGCGTTGTGAAAATCATAAAACTTTTAATTGTCATTTTCGTATACATACATGTAATGAATCTGTTACTAAAACACATGTTAAAATATTAAAACAACATGGTAATCATGCAGCGAGTTGCAAAAGAGATTTAATTAAATTATCATTAAGAAAATTTCATGAAGATATTGCTGATCGTGCAGAAAATACTCAAAAAACAACCGATATTGTATTAACACAATGTATATCGAAATTATCTGATTCAGCACGTATACGATTGCCACCATTAGATCATATTAAAAGAACAATTTTANCGTTCTGTACCAGCACTAGTTGCTGGAATTGAGTGTATTTGTCTTGCTAAAATTGATAAGGAAAAATAATACAAATAAAATGACCCAGGCAACCAAGTTCAGCCTGGCCTGCCTGCAGGCCAGGCCAAAAATTTTTCGACCTGATCAGGCCAGGCCAAAATTCCAAAATCCGGCCTGGTCTGATGCCTGGCAGGCGCCTGCCAGGCATCAGGCCAGGCCGACAGCTCTGTATTGAATGCTTCCAAAAATTTCACATAAATATTATCAATATACCATTATTTCCTGCATTTGAATAAAACAATCATTTCTAAAACTTCTTTAACGTTTTTCTCAGAACATAGTTTCCAATCAGAAAAAATTGGAACTACTCCCTCCTGTCTCGAGCTATAATCAATAATTTTTTTGGTTTTAAAGATCTCAGCGAGAGCAAACTTTTGTCCGATCAGTTTTTTTACAGTCGTTTCCTGAACTGAGAAAAGTGGGATTTACTATCGTTGGACCACCATTTTTATGCTGATTTTTAGATCCTTCCACTAAAATAGCCATAAAAAATCAATAAGATCGAATTTTAAAAATTCTGTTGGGACAAAAGTTGCGTACTGGCATTAGCTTTAATTTGAAACCAGCCTGAGCTCGATACCTCGTGTTACAACGGAGATTTGCCGATTCTCATGAAGGCCAAAAATGACCTATGAATCAGCTAAAACTTCGCTCTAGTATGGCCAATTGGGCTGAAATATTTACCAGAGACGTATCTCTCCAAGATCACTCATTCCTGAAATTTTCAGCTCAAAAGACCCATTCTAAGTGGGAAATCATTTCTAAGGGGCGGGGGGTCCTAAGTCAAACAAATGCCAGAAAGACCCATCATGATCATTATATTTCTCTGCGGCTAACTCAGTTCATTAATATCTTTTTTAAACATTTATTCTAAACAGTTTTTCTACAGTTAAGTACTTTTTCTGGACTCGACAATCAAACTTTTTTTTGCTATTGAAAAAACCTGATGTGCGATGCAGAGTAGACGAATAAAATCAAATTTCGTGATTAATAAAGGTTTCACGGGTTGCACAGGCAGAACGAAGTAGTAAAAACAAATTCACGGACGGGGCGGGACTGTTTAAAAAGACTAGTTCACGGGGCGAGCGAGGCGGGGGAAGTGGAAGTCACGGGACGGGACCCGCGGGGCATGAAAAATCCTTGCCCCACACATCTCTGATAGAAAATCCAACATCTTTTATTCTCGGTCGATAAGATCTATAATGGAGGCTTCCGTTGCTATGCTGTCTGTAATGGAGAGGGGAGCGGAGCCGCGAAAACTTGACTTTAAAAATTTTCACTCACTATTTTCTTCGAAAATATATGTGAGTTCCACAAAATAAATATGGTTCACATAAAATTAGCTTAGGTGAATTAGAACAATGGTGTAAAAACAATCTAAATATACCAACTGATGAAAATGAAGCTTTTGTTGTATCTTACAAAATATTATATGATAATGAAAAATATGAAGATGATGAAGATATAGAAGAAAATGATGGCAATCAATTTCCTATATTTATATCATCCTTACGTTTGCTCAACATTATATCTATGTCTGTTTCTCTTATTTATTCAACTTGATTTTTCTTATACTAAATTATAATTTATACGAGCAAAACTTATTTTTCTACTGATCAAATATATTTTGTACTGATTAAATCTGTATTTTTTACTGATCACATTTATCGTTTTTTACTGGTAATTAAATATAATAAACTGATCATTTTAAAATTAATTACTGATCATTTTAGTACTGACCATTCAATATTTATACTGATCATTCATATTCTTTTTTACTGATTATTTCATTTATTTTACTGATCAAATATAATGTTCCATTTTTTATTAGCATGTAGCAAAACCGTGATATCTGATATCTAATTTATTCAATAGTTTTTTTTCCGTTCTGTTGACTTTTTCTGACATTGAGAAGTTCATATTGAAAACCGAAAAACTAAGAATGATCACTATCCTATTTCAAATAATAAAAGTATATATTAGGATTGAATTGTTAATATTTTGAATTGAGGGTAATGAATTAAATGTTCAAGAATTCAGTTATTTCAATACTTATGTGTGGAAAAAGTTGAAAAAATCTAATTATGTCTTCGCAATAATGATCATGTCTTTTATTATTGAAGGTAATTTTTTTCATCATCATCCAATCATTTACTAGAGGTCAAAATAAACTTTTTCATTTCATATATGTCATAATAAAACAGTCATGAATTATAAAGTGATGCTGGTAAAAAATATTCTAGCTGTGTTTATATGAGAACTTAGATTTCAAGTCATAATAAAGGATTCGTCACACGCAAATTTATCTTATTTAATGCATTAACATTTCACTCCTTGACGCTCATGTGTAATGCTATCAAGAAAATATAGCTGCTAATTGCTGTTATAATAGACCATAGTAGATCCATGCAACGTGTCTTGTACACTTGTGCCAATCAATTGAAAGAAAAAAACCTATTCTATAGTCATCAGTATACTTTATATTTTTCTTTTTATTATATTTATTCAGAGAGGTGCTTGTTTATCGTATCTCACTGTCAACATTGTTGTACATTCGATCTGCACCATACGTGTAAGTAATATTTGTGTGATTAATCATTGCTCTTGCTATATTGGTCGAAAATCCAATAAGAAGAATGAAACATGTCTAAATGCTAATCTTTCGTATCTAGGATGTCAATCGAATGTAAATCAAGCAGAGTGGAAGGATGTGGGTGTGGGTGCTGCTCTCTTTCCACCAACACCCACACCCTTCTTCTTAAAGAAATAATTCTGATCCTGTTCTAATCTACTCTATGAAAATGTATTGTCCAGCGGGCAATATGCCTACGAATATAGGGAAATCAACTAGTTTGCTCACCAATAGTAAATATGATGTCAATTGTTATTAAAAACATTTCAGGGTAATCCGGAGCTAATTGATATATAGTAGAGAATGAAGCCCCGTCTCATGTGATGGAGCAATTTCAGTTCATGTGTCAGATTTTTGTGGAACAAAGATAAAAAGGCCAAAAGTTTTTCCCTTCATACACAGACCATGGTATACATGACGACATGCCTCTCATGGCCTGGGTGTATGAGAGGAAAGGACAATTTGCTTTTCTTCTCATAATCTTTAACACTGATTATTGATTATGATTCGCAAGAGTAATAATAGTTCGAATGGTATACTCTGCATTGCACGTATTGAATTAAATTTTATGGTTGCCAATGCTTTTGAAATAACAATGCACACGATTACTAATCATAAAGCAGGCTTCTGACATTCAATTTATAGAAACAGAAACAATATTTTATTTTATTTTTGATGGGCGAAACAATGCATAATTTCATCTATTGAATAAACAATCCGAATATGAATTTCATTAAAAAATTATTGCATTCAGAATTCGAGGCACTGACAATCATTGGTTGTCATTGATTTCATATTTTCTGCTTCGCGTTATTTTGTACAAAAATCAGACAAGTATTAATTTTGATTGAAACAATGTCGTGCTTCGCTTCTTATCATGAGATCATCTGCAACTTGTCCACGAACAAAATCATCGAAGTGCTATATAAATAAAGCATTTACTTACCAACTACAATAGTTATATTTCTTTGCAATCGAACGAATCAAGCAAGTATCATGCAACCGTCAAAAATTCCGTCGCTGCCTTATTACCCAAAAATTGTGCGACAACATCCAACAGGAGATCCTCCATCGAACAACGGTGCTAAGACTTCTCGTCTTTATTTTACATCGGTTTGTTTTCGAATGGAATTAAACGACAATAATAATTCGCATTTTAATTTTTAGGTATCAAGGATTTCCACTAACGGACAACAAAATCGAATATACCCGAAAATCGAAGATACATGTATAAAAATGGGCAAGTCACAACATGCGAAAATTGGTGATCGTCAGTAAGTTATACATTTGTACAAAGTTTTGCATGAAAAACTTCTTTTCATATTGATCATGTATCCAATTATTTTGAATACGTATTTTGATCAATCTCAACAGCTTTGAACGAATCCTTTATCATAGTCATGGAACGGTAGTACGATTTTTGTGTTTTGGTTAGATCAACTAGTCATAAATGAATCAATACATTTGTCAAAAGTAGACTCGGATTGTCAATGTGCCAAAGCATTTGCTGACTTAGAGAAGAATTAGATTAGTATGAAGATTCACGTCAAAATATAACGTGCGTCGGATTAAATCTGAAAAAAGAACTCGAATTGTGAGGTTATACAATCATTCAATTTAGCGGCTATGAGTAGTACAATCATTTAATAGAGTTTTCCTACCGGTTGACAGATAATTTTGGCGTTTACAGAAAAAAAATCTTAGTTTTCGTCTTATTTGAATATTATTGTCATCGGCGTGTTGCTGTGGATTGTAGATAAATGCCATCGTAAATATATCTTGACTCATCTATGATGTGAGCCGATGCACATCAAATTCATATTATACTCTAAGTGACAGTCAATTGAGAAATTCTGAATTATTACAGAGCTAAGTTAGTTACACATAGTCTTCAAAATACTCGTTTTTTTCTTATCTATCTTTGTAGCATTTCATTGATGGATATAAATTGTATTATTTCATTTTCCATTGCAGGACTCGATCCCATCGAACTTGTTTCATGTGTTCACTGTATTGGTGATGCTGATTCTCTTATTAACTGCAATTGCTGCTGTCATAATTCTGGTTAGAAAAGGTGTGTGTCTTGATTTATTGTTCTTTTCTGAAACTAGCATATATTTTTGAAGAAAATAGTGAGTGTAAATTTTACATAGAAGTTTTTCGGCTCCCCTTCTTCATCCCATTACAGATGATAGTGACTCGGCAACCACCATTACAGATCTTAGCAACCTGGACTAAAAATCGATTTTTCTTTATACGGAGAATGTGAGCTGCGATATCAAACTTTTTTTCACTGATTTTCTTTCTTGTTATGTTGACAACAAATGTGAATCACCATAGTCTCGATGGTGGTCATCACTAAGAGTACATGAAATATGCTTTAGTAGAGAAAAAGTCATATGGTCTCTCTCTTTCATTCATTTAAAAAAATATTTGTACGATTTCGAGTATGTACTATTAAGGGTGTTGGCCCTTTTTTATATGCTCGTCTATCCATCACCACTCACACCCAAAAAATCGGTAGTGTTACAGATTTGAATCCCGCAAGGACTTGATTGAAAGTTGTATAATCTGTGATAGAGCCCTAAGTATATCATTGAATGAATTTTTGCAGTTGGTGACGTATCAATGGCATCGTCGAGTAACGCGATAATTAGCAATGCTTCGTCTTCGACCACAAATACTACCTCGTCAACAGTCAGTACTGGTACCGTATCAACTACAAATACAACAAGTGAGTTTTCAATCTATTCACAGCAGTCTCATGTATCTTGAAAAATTGAGGTTGCTGAAAAAGTGTAGAGATATGCGAGAGATGCCAAACAATATGTAGACAAACTATTTCATCGTAGCAGATATATCCATACCTTTTTCATATCTCCGTAAGGAGATGCATCTCCTACATGGGTCCTAGGCTAAAAACCGAGAGTCATGTTGTTGATCAGGACTATGTTAGGTGATGGAGACGTAGGAGATCCGAGGGCAGATGTTTATCCTCAATTTCCTATATACCGTATGTGGCATCTCTCTTTATTCAATATAATTTTGAATTAAGCATGAACCTGCACAAAATGCATATGAGGTACATTTGAAGCTAGTCGATGAAAAAAAAAACTGTTTGTATATTCAAACTTGGAGTAGAAAGCTTTTCTTCTGTTCAATGGAGCAAATAAAATTTTCTATATGGTTTACGGAAGATTATGATTGTAATGTTTATAACAGAAATAGCCGACAACTAATGAGTAATTTTAGTATAACTTTTTCTCTCTCTCTCGTACGGTTACCGCTTCAAGATGCAACTTATCTTTAGAGACGATCTTTACAGTTAGGCCGACACAATTTTTTTGTCACAGAACGTGGCATTGTTGCGTTGATCAAGCGAAAGCCCTGCAGAAAACCCACAAATGATAGTTTTTTTCGAAATTTTGGTAGTAAAAACAGGAATATTATTTCAAGTAGCGGAAGATACCTTCAAACTTCATAGAGATACCTTGTCTAAGAAAGATACGAATGTTGTTGGTATGTTCATATATCTGATTTTCAGTTACATTGATATGACTGGGGTCATTGTTGATAAGCAAGCAAAATTTTGTTCTCGGATTATAGGATAGTTTGCAATCGGCAGGTGCCATTGCAATTCCAGAACATTTGCTAAAATGTTTAACGCTACGGAATGGAATGCTTTAAGGATGGATTTATTATTCGATTTATTTATCTTCGTTTTCTGAATTCAAATAATATCATTACCTTCTCGAACGTATATAAGTTTCTTCGACACTACTTGATTGACTCTACGGCAATACTCAGCTCCACACTCACAGTATTGAATAGGCTTGTGTCACTAGCAATTGGCTAAGGCTATTATTATGTTGCTACAGTAACAGATCACACAGTGACATCATGTGATCTCTATTGCTTTTGCAGCAACCAGTATTGGAGTTTGTTGGAATTCAACGGCTATAACTGTGACGGGCATGGCTGGTGTGGAAGATGTGGCTGCCGATCGATTCGATCGTCCTTTCGGCATCACATTGGATTCATCAAATGCACTTTATATATCCGATCAAAATAATAATAGAGTTCAGAAATGGTTAGCCGATGCGTCAACGGGTACGACAGTGGCGGGTCAAGCAAGTGCAGTAGGTGGAACGGCTTCAAATAGCTTAGATACGCCTAGCGGCGTTCTACTCGATTCAAGTGGCAACATCTATGTGGCCGATACCAACAACTTTCGAATTCAATACTGGTCTTCGGGTGCATCTTCGGGCACGACGATAGCCGGCATCACAGGTAGAATAATAAGACAATCTAGCAGAAATATACAACGGATGAGAATTGTTTCGGAATGCTATAGTAATTGAAACCAAGAACTTCCTCAAAAAACGTCACATTTCACTTTTACGCATCTAAACTCGTCTGATTTCAAATAAGGAATTCTATTGAACATTTTTTACCATTTAGCTTGAAAATCAGTGTCGAATTTTTGCTTACTTTTTGTAACCAAAAATTTTAAGTCATGAAAATGCGACAAGATCTTTGTATCAAAGTTGCACGTTTGTTATAGGTTCTGCTAGCTCAGGAAACAATGAACTAATGAATCCATATGGTATTGCACGAGATCCAAGTTCAGGCACGTTGTACATAGCAGATCAGAGCAATCATCGAATGATGAGCTATTTAGCAGGTGCCTCATCAGGAACTGTAGCAGCTGGGGGCAATGGTCTAGGAACAAGCAAAACACAGCTTAACTATCCAGTAGGCGTCTACTTCTGTGAAAATCAATCTGCTAAAAAAAAATGTAAAGTAAATGTGCCACCTCTGGTGAGCCGATATGGTATTTTACAAAAGTAACCTGTTCTAGATCACACGAAGATTATTCATGGACGAGTGAAGAAATATTCTCTTGACTGGTCTTCGTGAAAAAGTCATCAACACCCGATTAGAACGCCCAAAATCCAGAAAATACAAAAACTCATTTCTGATTGGTTGCAGCAGACAAATACACATACATTTCTCGAATATAGACCCTCTCTTGCAGAAAAGTGAACATATTAATGATCTCTTACAAATCGGAAATATTGTTTAACTTTCATCGAGCTTAATAACAAAAAATTATCTTTGTTCTTGTATGAGGTCAGCGATATAAATAAAATGTTCATCCGATTGAAAAAGTGTCCTATTCAATCGAGACAAGTTTTATTCACATTCTATCGCGGATTCTGTTGATCTGTTGAATACGATTTTTGTGAGTTCACGAGAAAATATTCCAATGAATAGCTTATCATTTTTTGTAGAATATTTTCATCAAAACGGGCAGTAATTCCACTACTTCTATCTTTAATTTAGGTTTAGAGAGCAATAAAAATAAGATAGAACAAAAACTCTATTATAAAAGAAAGTCTAATTCAATCTTCTTGTGACTACTACCGGAATGCGATTGCTTGTACTCATTACGGTAGGTCTGATTCTGTTGTGCCAAAACTTCAAGTTATTCTAAACTTCGGGCAAACAAGCGAGACAGACGAACGGCAAAAGTGTTGAAGTGGAACAGACGAGCAAGATAAAGTAAGGCATAACAAGAAGTCCGAAATCAGTTACATTCAGTAATTGCATAAAAGTCACCATATAAAGCAACGAAACGTCCAACATTTGTGTAATCATCTTTTGATGGCGATTTCACTTGATATGCTGATGCATTTGCTGCTTTTTTATTAGTACTCTGATTATTGGAGTAATATTCAAAATGGCAATAAGAAGAACAGATACTATACCGTGCCCAAAGTATTCATACGTACCGAGCGTAAGATTTAGTATTATGAAACATGGTTCTTGGCAACCGTTCACACTAGAATCGTAATACGTTTCAAGCGTGGAGAGATGGAAACACTATGAAAAATGAGAATATATCTTTCTAAAGATGCAAAGGTCATTACCAATAAATTTATTGAGGAAACATTATAGTCAATAAATATCGAGTGACGTCGTTATTTAACGATTCAATTCTATTTTCTTTTTAGATTTAGACCTATTCGAAAAATACCAAGCATCTAGACAAGAACTTATCAATTGATTTTTTTTCACCTACTGATCACTATCCGTGTAGAATTTTCACTGATAAATACGATAGTAAAATAAGTCTCCGATCACAAAGAGTTTAGCACTGATATTCACTCTTCTTTCAAAGCGATCCTACGCAAATAAAACAAATGATGAAGCTTTGTTTCGGGCAATGATACTGACGCCAGTGTCCCATATTCTATCTTTGAACGTCATATTGTTTCAAAACTGAAAAGAAATCTCATCATTTGATATGAAACAGACAAGACAGTCTATCTGTGACCATGGATCTATGACTTTGAGTTCATCATAAATGAGTTGTGATATTATTCTTTGATTCAATTGTTGTAAGTTGTTTAACATTAACTGTTTTATGTCTAGAGGTAACATTTTTTTCCTACATGAAGAGAAAATAGAAAGAATAACTTACAGGACAGACAACACGAACAACAATTTCTCTTTCCATTTTGATGATAGGATTTTGTTCATGATGAAAATGCAACATAATTACTTTGTTTAACTTAGGTTCACATTGTTTCCTGTTCGAGAGAAGCTGTCATGACAAAATGTGTATGACCTCATTAATGAAATTCTTTAAATGTGCTTTCACGGTAAAAAAAAGAAAGATTATCTCGTTTTTTTTGCTTCATTCGGCTTTTTTTATTTTGTGTTACCGACGTCTGCCGGGTTTCTCAAAAAGAAGAATGAAGTAGAAAAAAAAGATTGCGATATTTGATGAATTAAAAAGCAAAATTCATACATGTCCTTGTGTGGAACTCATTATGAATACTGTCATTAATAGTGTCCATGCGTATTTGGCAATTGACTCTGCAATTGTTAAAGAGAAACATGTGAAATCTCGACAGCTCACCATCTCAGTTATTCTAAGTTTGAGTTCCGATTTCCCACTTTCATTGTTCCATAGAAGGTGAAGAAACGCAATTGATGTTCCTTTCTTCTTCAGGATGAGGCAGATAAGACTGTTTTGCGTCAACCCTTTCCTCAGAATCAATTTATTTCTGTAAGGTTCTAATATGGAATTGTTCCTGACGTGATTAAAAAATAAACATTTTTTTGTACAATGAGCAAGTACTTTTGTCTGCAATGCATGTAAACATATATAATATTTTTATATTGGGGACACGGATACATTAAATGATTGATGAAGTTTAAACAAAAAATGGATAAAATTCATTTAGACAAGCAAGATTGTGCAGTGGATAGTTTGTAAAAACAGATGTGAATTGCACCACATGTTTGTTTTATAATTATGACATTAAAGTGTAACAAAAATTGTTGTAAGAACCAAAGACATTGAAAGCTAAATTTGTTGTCTAAATACTATAATTGGTGGCATGTGATACATAAGTATTCTTGGTAAATTTTCGACTGTACTTTCCAATACGACAGTTTTAAAAAATCCTAAGAATAGCTTATGAGTTTTTCAATTACGAAGTTAAATTGTTATGATTTTATTAACTCTTGTCTAAGTCAACCTCTTCATCTGATTTGTAGAGCTTTATTCTTATTATAAATTTCTCTCTAAGAGAATTTTTCCTATTTTCACGCATTCCAATCTCAACTGTGATAGAAAGTTTTTTTTTTTTAAATGTTAGGGGGTAGGTAACTGTGTCGAGCAACAAACACCCACAATCCTCCTAGTATTGAAGTGAAATGGAGACTTCAAGCATTTTTTGATCATCTTAACTTTTATTCGGTACTAATTAGTAGTTCAACCAATTAATTGTATTGAAACCGAAACTTTGTTTTTCGTCTGCAGAATAAATTATCCCAATTTAAGTGGATCAAGTCATTTGCATATCTTGGTTATTTGCTTACTACCAGGTTAGGATGGGAAAATTTTCTTAAGAAGACGTTCATTCGCATTCGTCAGCAGACGTCAATGGTCAATTTAATTAAATTTCATTATGACGAGTTCTATTTTCCACCTTTATTCTTCCTGTTTTCATATAGCTTGCTACACTTTATCCGCGCTTCAGGGTTTACAACGTGAGTCTTAATCATTTTTACTATATGTCGCTTAAACGTATCTATCGGTGTCTTTGATTCGGAAACATGTTTTTCTCGTCTGTTTAGAGAGAACGATCATTGAATGATATATTCTATAAACATTAATTGAAATACTGTAAAGCTTTCACAAAATCACGATATGGTTACTTGATTGTAGAGCAACTTTTTCTTAATGCACATAGAACGAAATGAGAGGAACAAAGATCATGAATTCATTGCATACGAAAATCTAAACAATTTGCTATTTATATCGACATATTATGTTTCGCGGCTAGTTGGATGTCATCATATGGCATGAAAGATTGTATCAGACCTAGATAAGCACGACTTTGAAAGTCTCGTATTGTTCCCGAAGATGTTCTAGTGTGGTATTATGTTGTGATCTCTTCATCTATTTCTTTAGATGCTCTATTTTTCTCTTTTTGTCTCCTTTCTTTCTTTTATCTTGTTCTTTTCTTTCTCCTTCTTCATGCTTTTTCTTTGGGATTGAAATGGTCAGAAAGTTTTAAAGGACAATAGACAATACTATAACATTAATAGACCTAATTCTGTCGAGAAAAATACTTCCTTCGTAAACCTTGGATAACTCAAGGTTCCGAAGTAGAGTAAACATTTGTTGATGTTTAGTAATAAGGGTCACCATAGTACCGAAATTTTTTTTTTTTTGAATTTCCCTACAATTTTTAATCTGCCGTTTGCATGTAGAATTGTAATGAGTCTCAGAAAAATCTCAATTAGTTATTATAAATGACCTCTATTCAAAATAAAAAAACACTTTTGGATTCCTCATGATATGACGTATACACTAACGTTTTTCAAAATAATTCGAACTCTTCTATTTTTTCACTTCTTCGATACAGAAATATGAAGTGGAAAAAAAAACGACGTATTTGTGTTTCTCATTCTGCCGCAACATAGTGTTTTATTTTTCTATTTAAGCTAATCAATGTATTTTGTTTTCCTTATTCTGCCGTTAAATGAAGATATATATAGAAATAAGAGCAAATAATTAAAAATATATTGTAACTAATCGACAGAATAAGGAAAATAAAAAACGTTGATCGACACAAATAGTAAAATAAAACAAAATGTCGCAGCAAGGTAAGAAATACAAATACGTTGGTTTTTTTTTTCATTTCATATTTTTGTATCGAAGAAATGACATAATAGATAATTTCGAATTCTTTTGAAACAAAAACATCAGTCTATTCATCATGTCAAGGAAAATCGAATCGTATTCTTTTTTTGTTTGGAATAGAAATCATTTATAATAATTAATCGAGGTTTTTCTGAGATTCATTACCATTTTACATGCAAACGGCAGAAAGTTCAAGAAAAAATGATCTCGGTGCTATTATGATGCTTCTTACTAAACATCAACTGATTATTTTTCAGCCGATCGATAGAGAAATGTTTACTTTAGTTCGGAAACTGGAGTTATCCAAGGTTTACGAAGATAGTATTTTGTTCTCACAGAATTAGGCCTACTGACTCTACTTTAAATATTACGAATGATAGAATTATGAAAGAATTGATAATCAGTTTCCAATTTCTCGATGAATTATCTCATTTCTAATAATATTTCTCAACAATGTAGGCGGCTTAGCATTAAAAAAATAGATTTCATCTTGTTTATCAATACCATCAGGTTTTCAAAAATCGATAAAAGATAAAACAATTGTTCAGATTATTATTCTTTACTTTTCAAATACTAATATGAATTTTATATTGCAAGGTCATTTTCTTCTCTATGATTTAGAAAC